TCCCGCAGAGAGGGGCTCCTCCTCCCGGGGCCTGTCCTGGCCAGCCTGGTTTACTTCACTTTTCCTTGTGGGAGCCTTTGGTCTCCTTGCTGCGCCCCCCCACCTCCGTGTGTGTGGGGACCCCGCTCCTTGGCCCTCCCTCGCGGTCTGTAACACGCTGTGACCCCTCCAGTCTGCAGGTGGCACGTGTGTGTGGCATGCCCCACCCGCTCCGCTTCTCCCCTTGCTCCACAGCCGAGCCAGGGGTGGTGGCTCCCCTCTTGGGCACACTGCCCCTTTTCCCTCTCAACTTCAAGTGCGTTGTTCCCACAGCCCCGACCTGGCTGTCCTGGGCCTCCTGCTGTCCCTTATCCCTGCCCTAATAGCCTGTTCACCATCCTGGCCTCACTCAGCTGACCACTCTGCCAAGGCCCACGGCCCCTGCTTTCACACTGGCACAGTCTGAGCTGACTGCATGGCTTCCCAGCTGAAGACGGCATCTCCCAACCTTTCCTGCCCTTAGCTGCAGTCATGTGACCAAGCACGGGCCAGTGGGGCGGAGGACGACCGTGAGGCCGAAGTGTGTGGCTTCCAGGGTCCACGCTGGCTGCAGCTCCGGGGAAGCCTTCCTGGAGCCAAGATGGCAGAGCAGAAATGGAGAAACCTGTGTCCTCGACAGTTCTGGAATCCAGCTCTGGCAGGCCTACCGGGACTTCTCCCCGAGGGAGACAAGATGTTCTCCTGTCTAAGCCTCTGTCTTTCTAGGTCTCCGCAGGGCAGCTGCTGGCGCGGCTGTGCCCCCGCACCTGCCCCGCTCTTGCTGCGTACCGCCCGTGCGCCTGGGCGGGCAGAATTCCCAGCCTGGCCCCCAGGACCGCACCCCCGAGTCCCCAGCACCCGTGAAGCCAGTGCTGAGGTTGCACTGTTTTATGCTACGGCAGATTAAAAGGGGGTTTCCAGGAGGTCCTGATCTGACCGTGTGCGCCCTGAAACGCAGGCAGCTCTGGCTGGTGGTAGAAGAGGAAGTGAGAGGTGCAGTCGGAGGGAAGTCGGAGACCCACTCGGTGCAAGGGCTGGGGGTGCTGCAGAGAACGTAGCTGGCGGGGGGGGACTCCCCAAGAGCGCAGCCCTGCCCGGGGCTTGATGTCCTGGAAGACTGGAGCCGAGGGCCCGAGCCACCTTGTCCTGCACTTCAGGCCCACCGGGAGAGAGAATAGATGTGAGCTGCTGTTTGCGTTTGTCACAGCCAGAAGAGCAAGCCCTCCCGAGGCGCCCCCTTGTGCCAGTCACCCCCAGGGTGTTGCCATCCAGCTGTCTCCTTTTACTCCACCACCAGTTTCTTGCTCACTGGGTCATTCCCGTAGAATTACAAACAGCCTGTGGCATCGCCTTCCGAAACGCCCTAATGCCACATCTTCATTGCACCGATTCGCTGCCCCTCTCCGCCACATGACCCCTGCGAGATCTGTCTCCTCTCACTGCCCGGCACATCGGCGGTGTCTGTGTCTCGCCCCCTCCCGCGTGTTCGGAACGTCCTGTTTCCCCCTCGGACGGCCACCTCCCGGTCTGTGGTCAGCCCTTGCGTCCCGCTGCTCCCGGCCGCTGTGGCTGCTCCCTGCTGCTTCCGGGCCTCCTGGCCACTCTCCTCTGCTTCACCGCCTCTGCTCCGGCGACCTTCTTTCTGGCCTTCACACACTTGAGCGCCCTCCTGCCGCAGGGCTCCTGCCCCTGCTGACCGGCTGCCTGAGGCAGCTTCTCCGGACCCTGCCACGCTACTTCTTGATTTTGTCCGCAGCGCACAGACTCTTCCCAAGGCCCTGCGGCAGGACTTCCACTCTTCGCGGCCATTTCCGCTCCCCTGCTCTCCCGTAGCACTTACCAGGACCTAAGATTATCTTACTTTTGCACTTTGGAGGAATTTATGAGTGCTTCCTCCCGCTGCGCATGAACACGATGGAAGGGGCTCTGCTCCCTCGACTCGCTCAGAGCCACGCCTGTGCTGACGTAGCACACCTGTGCGGGACGCGTCCTTGCCAGCTTTGCTTGCCACCTCTGTCTGCTTCCAGCCAGGCCGCGTCTCCAGGGATGTTGTGTCCTGGGCGCCAGTCTCCGCCTCTGGCTACCGAGGTCTGAGCTTGCCACCTCCCTTCCCGCCTCATATCCCCGAAGGCTCCCGGTGTCTTCAGGGTGGAACCCAGCCCTCAGCTGGTTCTCGTGGGCCCTCCTTTGCTGTCCTCTCTGTCCGCCTCCCCTGCCCCCCGCATCTCCCCCTGACCTGAGGCTCTGTGGCTGGTCACCCTGGCTCCTTCCTCCCACTCACGGGCAGACTGCTCTCCTTCTACAGCCCTCCCGTTCTGCAGCCCTCCCGTTCTGCAGCCCTCCCCTAAATTTTGCCCTGCACGCTCTGCTGACGTTTCACACGTGACCTCTTCCAGGAAGCCCTCCCTGACCTGCCCCCCACTGAGTTAGTGGTGCTGTCATTGGCGTGTCTGTTTTCTCACAAGCCCAGCAGCTCCTGGGGGGCCCGGCCCAGGTCCCCACGGGGGAAGTGGTCTGCTGCTGTTCACAGACTGACTGAAAGAGAGAGTTTCCGGTGCCTTCAGATGGTGCAGCCCGTGACGCCCACAGTGAGAAATGACAGTCTCCCCCTGGCCTGAGGAGAGAGCCTTAGCCTGGTAGTTGGATGTTAGGGGAGCAGTACTTAGAAAGCCTTTATTTTGGGGTGCCCAGGGTCCTTCACTATGCTTGAGAAACAATGTTTCCTTCCTGTGGGAAGCAGAGAGGATTAAGAGGTTTGTCTGGCATTTTTAGCCTGTGTACAACCAGGAGGAAAACAGGTGCCCCTGTGACCAGGAACCCCGTTTGCAATTCTTTGCAGTAGCCACCTCTGCTTTTGGGGGTGGGGCAAAACCCAGTTTTGCCAAGTGCGTATCAAGAGTGTGACGTTGGGTAGTACTCCCAGCTGTCTCGGTTCCTCATCTGTGAAATGGGGGACCCCTCAACTTCCTGGAGGTCCATGGGGTTGAGTGTCAGGCTTGGGAAGTGTGTTGGTGCAGCCTGTCCGGGTTCAGCGACCTCAGGCCATGAAGAGGGGCCTGACGCGCTCTGCCCGGGCCTGAGCCTTCTGTGTGCTGATCTGTAAGACCAGACATGGTCTAACTGCTCCATCTTGGCTGCCAAGACTTTGACCTTTGCTTGCGCCTTCAGGCTTAGCACATGCACGGGGTGAGCAGGACATCCTTGTATTTTCTACAAACCCATTACGCCGCCGTCTATGTACAGCAGGTGAGACTGGGCAGGGCTAAATGAGAGCACATGGCCTTTTCCCTCTTAAAAAAAAAAATGAGCGGACCCTAAGAAAAGCACTGGGTGAGTAACAGCACGGTGGGAGAGGCTGCGGGCAGCCAGCCGGGGCCTTGATCCCCGCCCCTGGCGGCCTGCGAGCCGGAGCCCGCCCATCAGTTCCGTATTGGAGAGTGCGTTTGCCACCTAGTGGCCGGGTGTGAAACTGCAGGCTGTTTGTGGGAAGGGGGCGAGTTACAGTCAAGACTGATTTTTGTTTCCAGAAGGTGAGAGCGGACAGTAGATAGACATTCACAACTCTTAACAAAGTGCAGACCATTGAAGCAATAGCAGAGAAGCCTGTCTAGAAAAAGAGAAGAGTGCTAGACATGGAGGCTGCGCACAAATACATGCTTTCCCCATTTTCCCTGAAACACAGTAGGAATCCTGCCCCCCCCCCCCCCCAGCCAGCTGAGGGGGCACAGAGCAGTGTAGTTACACCGGGCTCCTCACCAGCCCTGTACTCAGGGTCTAAGGCGTGGTGGCGGCTGTGTGGCGGCCGTGAGCAGCCTCTCTGGATGTGCTGCAGGGAGCCCCGCAGGACCGGGGCTGTGCCCTCCTGGGACTGCACCCAGCTGGCACACACTCTGCCCCCTGCCCCGAGCTGCCCTTTGCCAGGCTGTGAAGGGCCAGTCTGTCGCCGGAGCTGGCCATGGAGGGCGCCTGGCAGCCCTCAGGCCGCATGGAAAGCGCCGCTCCCGCCCCAGGGTCCCCGAGCCCCGCGTGCTCCTTCCGCGGGCCCCTTCCGCGGCCCGTCCTCTTCCCAGGGTGCTAACCCTCCTCACAGCGCCCAGGCGAAACCTGAGGCCCCGATGAGGCATGTTTTTACTAGGAAATGTCATTGTTGTCCGTTGCTGCATATCAGAACATCCCCAACTCGCAGCTTAACACAATGACGTGTATTTATTTATTCTCTCCTGGACTGTGCAGGGCTTAGCCACACAGTTCTGGTTCTGGGTGCCGCAGGCAGAGTCTGCCCGGGGCCTCACGCATCATACTTGAGGGTCTGGGGTGTGCTTCTTGGACGTGGGCGTGGCTGTGGGCTCAGCCCCCTTCTGGCGGTTAGCAGGAGACTTCGACGGGACCTTTTCCCCAGGGTTGCTGGGGTCCCGATGACCTGGGGAGTAAGGACAGAGCCACCAGCCTCTGATGACTGGTGTTAGAAATCACATGGCGGAGGCCACACCAGGTCTAACACCGGAGACAAGGATTCAGCTTTATATCTTAATGGGAGACTATCAAAGACTTCCTGCCATTTTAACAGGCAGTTTTCAGATGTAAATAGCTCCGAGGCTTCTATCTAGAAAACGCTGAAGCTTTGCTGGAGGCATCTCCTGAGGAGACTAGCTAAAGGTAATGATTCCCAGGAGCCTCAGTGATGGGAAGCTTCTGGGCTGGGGCTGTGACCCAAACTCAGGCCCACATATCAGGGGACATCCTGGGGTTTTTTTTGTGTGTGTGAAGGTTTCTCAGAAATTTTGAACTTCCTTTGCTTCTGCACAAAGAAAACCCCAATTATCCCCTGATGACTCTTCCCCAAGAGCTATCGTTTCTCCCCTGGAGAAGCCCAGCCTTCAGCTCGGCAGAGGGGTGCCCACATCTTTCTATGAAGTAGTACCCTCTGACCACTTTGCTGTCAGTGACCTCAGGCCCTCCCTGCTTACCACGGTGACAGCTGCTCAGGCGGTCATGAGTGCAGGCTTGGTGAGGGCCTGGCTCTGCAGGCTGTGGGTCAGGGCGGTCTTGGGGAGCAGAAACCCGATGCCATAGAGGGTGATGCTGCCTGACTGCGGTTTCCCCAGGGACGGCCCCAACCCTCTCCCCCTGAGGCGGTGTGGGGCTGCCAGCCTCAGGCCAGGTTCTGCTGGCCGAGAGCAGAGGATAACCTTGGGCTGGGCCGTCACTGGGCAGATGACCAGGTGACACTGAGGTTCAAGGTCCTAAAGTTGCAGGCCCAACCTCTCCCCCGTGGGCTAAAGGAGGCCCCCTGGCTGCAGTCGACGAGGCTGGGGGTCCAGGAAGTGCTGACCCCGAGGCTGGCTCTGCAGCCGCAGCAGGGTACCTTTCCCTGGCCCACCTCCCCCACTTTTTAAATCAGCTCAGAGCAGTTGTGGGTCCACAGACGAATGGAGCCCACGCAGGGGAGGCTGCCTGCTCTGCAGCGGGGGGCCTGGCCTGGGGCTGTCACAGAAGGAACAGGGCCTCGAGGGTTTCGCGCCTGTGAGTGCAGCGGGTGGATCCCAGAGGCTGGTCTGA